TTTTCCGCCAGGTTGACGAACACATGCCCAAGCCTGAGAAGGTATCGAATGTGCTTAAAGGCATCGCCGACGATGCCTTCAACCTCCTTGTCTACACTAACGTCACCACCATCAATGAAATCATCAAGGAGTGCCGGCAGTTTAAACACGCGAAGAGCCACCGTATCACGCAGAGATTCACACGACTGCCCAACACAGCCGCAACTTCCTCGTGTGAAGCTGCTCACCAACCACCCACCTATGACCACGTCACCCGATTTGTTCGTCGGGAGCTTGAAGCTGCCTGTCCAGCTCTCATTCAAAAGCCTGTTTTCACAACTCAAGCCACTGACCCATTCCACCCATCGGTAGCCTTATTTCAAGCTCTGGTAAGGCAGGAGTTAGCTAATCTCGGTCTTCCGTCAGCGTGTTCCTTGACTCACCCTGAAGACCGCAAATACCCCCCAGTTAACGCTCGCTTATCTCCTCCATCATTGCCCTCCCGGAACCCTACGCAATGGCGAACCCCTGAGGACCAGCCTATCTGCTTTTACTCTCTTCAACCTGGACATAGTTCTCGTTATTGCCGTTGCCACTGGTCCAACCCACCACGTCAGACCTACCCTACTTATATGCGCCCTACCACTTCTGGATGGCCAGCCGCTACACCGTCCAAGTTTTACTCGCCACTTCCTAACGAGCCTCTCCCCACTGACGCCCCTTCTTCCGGTCGCCGCTACTCCCGCTCCCCGTCGCTGCTACGCCGCCAATCCCGCTCGCCGCCACCTCAGCGCTTTTCCTCGCTGAGCTTCTCCGGACGATCGCAGCAGGAAAACTAGATATTGCAGCTTATGGAGGTGAATCTGCAATACCAACGACACCCGGAAACCCTCTACTGACGCTGCCTACACACCGCAGTCTCATTGAAGTAAAAGTTGACAATGTTCCTGTTACTACCCTTGTTGACACAGACACCCACCTATCTATTATGAGCGCACATCTACGCCACCGTTTGCAGAAGAACATGACGCCCTCTATGACTCAAGTCATGCGTGTTGCCAATGGCGGCGCTGTAGAAGTCGTCGGAATGTGCACTGCTCGTGTCAACATTGCTGGCCGTCACGCCGTAGTCCCTTTTGACGTTCTAGATCGTTGCCCACATGATCTCAAACTAGGCCTCGATTTCCTCTCGGCATACTCGGCTTTAATTGACTGTTCTTCTGGCACGCTCAGCCTCGACCTTCCTCTGCCCTCTGATTCCTGTGAAAAGCCCGTCAGCCACTTGGGTCCAACCACTTTTGTTCGCTTGCCACCTTGAGTTGTGACATACGTCTGTCTGTCATCGACACCTCCCATTCCCGATGGAGACTACATCGTTACACCGATAACAGACGCACGACTGACGGGCAGTGTTACAGTGCCGCATACCATCGCCACCATAGTGGACAACTGTGTGTTTCTTCCGCTCCTAAATTTTGGCCTCATTCCTCAGGGGCTGCTCTACCAGATTTCGCTTGCTCAACTCACTGCCATAAGAGATGATGACATAAACGTTGTCGCTGTAACTGTTCTGGACCAAGCCGAAGTCTCATGGTTACCCGGTTCTGCCGAAGCCATCTTTCGAAACATGATTGGACCAGACCTTTCGCCTGATCAGGCCGACGCTTTCTGCCACGTTTTGGCCTCCTACGATGACATTTTTGCTATTTGTGATCGTTCCTTGGGCCAGGCTAATATTCCCAAGCACCGAATCAACACTGGTGTCTCTGCGCTCATCCACCGTAGGCATTGCCACGTGTTCGCATCAGAAGAAGCAGTGATTCAGAAGGAAGTGGACAACATGCTATCAAAAGACATCATCGAACCATCGTCAAGCCCTTGGGCCTTCCCAGTGGTGTTGCTAAAAAAAGAAAGACGGCTCCTGGCGTTTCTGTACTGATTATTGGCACCTCAACAAAATAACCAAGAAAGACCTGTATCCTCTTCCACGTATTGAGGACGCACTTGACTGTATTTATGGCACCACCTCTTTTTCATCTCTCGACCTCCAATCTGGCTACTGGCAAATTGCTGTAGACGAAATGAATCGTGAGAAAACTGCATTCATTACCCACGATGGCCTTTACCGATCCAAGGTCATGCTGTTTGGTCTCTGCAACAGCCAGCGACCTTTGAGAGAATGATGGACACGCTGCTTCAAAGATTTAAATGGGCGACGTGCTTGTGTTACTTAGATAACAGGATAATCTTCTCACCCACCTTCGCCACACACCTTGAACGCCTTTCGACCATTATATCAACATTCCGACATGCCGGCCTCCAGCTGAATTCCTCAAAGTGCCGCTTTGGTCCTCACCGAATTACTGTTTTGGGCCACCTTGTTGACGCTTCTGATGTACGACCAGATTAGGCAAAAGTACGCGCAGTAACGAACTTTCCCGTTCCGCGCTCTATCCATGATGTTCGCAGTATCGTGGGCCTATGCTCTTACTTTCGCTGGTTCGTGAAAAACTTTGCGGCACTCGCACACCCACTCACAGACCTTCACAAACACGACGCCCATTTTGTTGGGGTCCTCTTCAAGCTAACGTTTTCTCTCGACTAATTACCACTCTAACGACACCACCGATACTTGCACATTTCAACCCAGATGCTCCTACAGAAGTGCGGACAGACACTAGTGGTCACGGCATCAGGGCAGTTTTGGCCCAAACTCAGCGGGGCACTGATCGTGTAATTGAATATGCAAGTCGTTTCCTTTCAAAGTCTGAGCGTAACTACCCTATAACAGAACGAGAACGCCTTGCCCTTGTGTGGGCGGTTTCGAAATTTTGTCCTTACTTGTATGGCCGCCCGTTCCTTGTCGTCACAGATCATCACGCCCTTTGTTGGCTTTCTTCACTGACGGGTTCTTCTGGACGACTTGATTGTTGGGCGTTGCGTCTTCAGGAGTACTCCTACTCAGTTGCCTACAAGTCTGGATGCCTCCATCTGGACGCCGATTGCTTGTCCCGCCACCCTGTTGACCAACCAGATGAATCGGTCGGTGAGGCTGACCCTAGCGTAATGTTCATGTCTAGCTTTCGTCAGATTGGTGAGGAACAACGTCGCGATCCTTCCTTGTGGTCACTCATTGTCCGTCTGGAATCTGACCCTAACGACGTGTCACTCCACATGTTCGTTCACCTAAATGGCACGCTCTACTCTCGTAGCATCCAGGCAGATGACCCTGAGCTACTTCTAGTCATGCCTAACCATCTCCGTTCAGCGGTCCTGCATGAGCTTCACGACGAAGAAACTGCCGGCCACTTGGGCATATCTTGCACGTACGACCGCGTCCAGTGTCGCTTCTTTTGGCATGGTCTCGCGTGGTCCATTCGACAATACGTGGCCTCCTGCGATAAATGCCAACGTCGAAAACGACCTGCTGTACCCCCTGATCGACTCCTTCACCCAATCTCCATCCCTACCGAACGTTTCTTCCGTGTTGGTGTCGACCTCATTGGACAGTTCCCTGAATCAACCTCTGAGAACAAGTGGGTCGCCGTTGCTATAGACCATACGACCAGGTTTGCCATCACAAGAGTGCTCTCTACCAGCTACTGACGTTGCCGACTTTTTGCTGCACGATGTAATTCTACACCATGGCGCTCCTCGGTAATTGCTCACCGATCTAAGACGCGCACTTTTGTCGTGCGTACTCGATGACCTTTTGCGCTCTTCCTCAACGCAACACAAACTGACCACTTACTACCATCCTCAAACAAATGGCCTTACCGAACGCCTAAATCGCACCCTCACGGAAATACTCTCGGTGTATGTCTCATCTGACCACCATGACTGGGATCTAGCGCTACCTCACGTGACGTTCGCCTATAATTTATCTCGTCATGATACAGCAGGTTATTCACCTTTTTATATGCTGTATTGCCATAATCCGACCTTACCACTGGACACCCTACTACCGACTACTACACCTCCGCCGAGCGAATACGCACGTGATGATATCGCTCGTGCCGACCATGCATGTCAGATTGCCCGCTCTAGGCTGTTGGCTTCACAAGCAATCCAGAAGGCTCTCTACGACAGCAAGCGTGTCGACGTTGACTTTTCACCTGGTTCTCTAGTTCTTCTCTGGTGCCCAGTTCATCGTGTTGTATTGTCATAAAAGTTGCTATCTCCGTACAAGGGACCTTACCGTATCATACGACGGGTAATGGACGTTACCTATGAGGTAATTCCAGTCTCCGGGACTAACCTGTCTGCAAACACCCCCACTTACGTAGTCCACGCCAGTGTGTTGAAACCATGCCGTCCTCCTTCTGAAGAACACGTATAAAGTGCACCGAGCTGGTGCTTTTACAACCAGGGGGTGATGCTACGTAGCTATCGCATGAAGGTTGGTTGGTTGGTTCCTCAACACCTTGGCGCAACCCACCTAGGGGGATAAGCCATGAATGGGACGGTGCCTGGCTTTTTAAATTAATTCACTTCTTGAAAGGGGGGTTGGAATTATTAGATAATATAGGTAATAATTTAAAGGTGTTAGGTGAACCAGTCTCTGAACAGAAGACAACGAAGAGGACTGGTTTGCTTGCTCTTTGTGCTGCTCTCCGATTTTATTTGTGTAAATATACTGGGTAATAGCAAAGCCACCTAGAACAGGTTAAGGCCTGCGCACTCCCTCCGTGACGTCACGCACTTTGCCCGAGTGGGCCGCGCCTCGCGAAAAAGTTTGTCTGCTAGCCGTCCAGGCTCTACTCACTTCCATGCACTAGATGTGTGTGGGGTTGCCTTCCACAAGTCGCAGAGTGCTAATCACATATATGTACTTTTCTGCCAAGCGTGCAGATATAAATTTGAGGGCAAGTTATGTCAAACTAAGACATGCTAAAAGAAGCTTTGATTATTGTGTCCGAAAGCCGTAGCGTTAGAAGTGTGCCACAATATGGTATGGCGCATTTCTATTTTTTTGAATAAAAAGAAATAAACTACGATCCAATATATTTCATGGAGACGACATCATTTATTTATTCTAACGTGAATCTTCAAGACGTTGAAGGTAGCTTAATTGAGCGTTTTCAGTTTCCTCTTCAGTGTTGCGCCCTTCTTTGCCGCCGTTAACTTGTCGGTTTTCATTTGGACGTAGTTTTTCAGTAAGGTGTTGGTGGCTGCCCACAAGATGTTGTGAAGCACTGTCTCCGGATGGTGTCCTTTGCAACAAATGTCCAAATCTTCATTGTCAATTAAAAGGTGCTTCACCACACTGAGAAGAAGCTGCCTTTGGTGCCGTGCTGCATGAAACCGGGTGGTGTTCTCTTTCGATGTCAACTTTTCAAGCACGATTTGTGTGTGCAGAACAGCACTTATTACTACTGGTGGAGGAAATTTTAGGGCCCCTCTTGTGAGGCCTTCGATTAGCATATCAACCATTGGTATATCCCTATCTTGTCTCGTGATGTTGGCCGCACAATCTTCACAGGGAATTTTCCTGAGAGCGGCGTGGGCGCAGTAACCTGCAATATACACTATTGCAGGCAAGCTCTCCTTTTTTGATTTCACGTCCTCTTCAGTCAACTTGATGCCATATTCTTCTATCACCTTGGCTGCATCAAACACAATACTGCTAGGTTGGGACAGTTCTTTCATATCTGGAAAAACCAGCGAGTTCTGAAGCCTCAGTTTTGCTTCTGATTCAAATATTTGTTGGACGGAAATATGGTAGTTGGATCCACATAGCCGACGGTAACGACCAAACCTCTCCTCGAGGCTGTCTGTCTGAAACTTTGCAAGCAAGACATATTCAAAACCTAGCTCCTCCAGGCAATACCGACTGACTTCGATCAAGGAGTATGACGTGAGACGTAGCGCCGAGTGCGTCTCCGTGGTTAACAGTCCTGCACGGCCAGGGCCAATCTTCAAGTTTTCCCAAGTGTCAGGCCAGTCCACGAATGCATTAAGAAACTGCAGCTGCATGTCCTCCATACTTCTTACGGGTGCTTGAAGAGGATTTTTTAGGTGCTTGCCTTTCGATGGTGTTTTAGTGTTCACAACGCACCACCACTTGTGTATTAATTCAATAAATTCAGCAGTTTCTCGGGCACAACTCAAACCAAGCTTTGCACCATAAGTTTTTAGTGCTTCTGCAATAAATGGACTGATCACTTTCAGTGCTAGCTTCACGTTTTGTCTTTCGATGTTAGAGGTGTTCAAAGCCTTATAAGTAAGTCCGTATCCAAGCTTCGAAAGGTTGTGTTGCTCGGAAGCGTACAGTTCACGAAGTGTTTCAAATGTTGCTTTCTTCACTTGCACCTGTGATGTCGTACTTGAAAATTCGGGATAAAAAATGGAACAGCCTTCATTTTTCTGGTTCAACCAGTTGTTACGGATGCACTTTAATAAATGCACGGTATCGACAACAAAAAATAGCGGCCTTGAATTGTCTGCTGGATGTGGGTAAACAATGTCTATTGTGTTATTTTTTGAAAAAAATGACATTACTTTTCGGTTCACAGCGTTGTTATCAGTGATAACGGCAATTACTGTAAGTCCCGCTTTTTCAAGACCCAAAATTACTTTTTTCAGGATGTCGTGCAAATGGCTGGCTTCAATGCTGAAAACGGGAAGGATGTGTACCACATCTTTGTGCGCAGAAAGCAATGAATTTGTCATGAACACGTGTGCTGTTTTTGCCGCTTCAGAGGAATTCGATGCCGTCCCTGTTAATGAGCCACCCTTATACTCAAAATATTGCTGGATGTGAATTTCATCTAACATGAGCGTTACGACTCTTTCGTGTGGCTTTAGAAGGCTCACTTTTTTTGTCATGTACTGCAAAAAGCCTTCATCGCGTTGCTCGTTTGCAGGACTTGCATTGTACTTGCTGCACAGCCTTAATATTGTGGAAGGATGAGGTAACATTAATTTCCCAGTGTTGCGAACGAATTTGTATGCGTGAGGAGAGATCGTATGAAAAATGCTAGATAATATAAGAATATCTGAAGAATATCTCATAGCTCCTCGCTCTTTAAGAAGAAGGCGCATCTGTTCCTTCAGAAACTCGAACGCTTCTACTTTCTCTTCTGGTAGGAGGTCACCATCAGACAGGTCATCAAAAATAGAAAAAATAATGTGGAAGCAGGCTTTCAATTTTTCTTCTTTTTCGCAGACGTCTGGAGCATTGAAATGCTCCACACTTTCAAGAATAGTGTACAAGCTCGGAATGTCCTCTAGTTTTTCAGGAATGGGAACATCAGCAATGTGCAGCTTCATCTTTTTCCAGTAGGCAGAAATGTACAATTCATCGGAAACAACCACAGAACGTTCCACCTCTGGAGGTAGTGTGTTCCTCTGAATATGCAGAAACATAACTGCAGCTTCCGTGCTGCTCACTATCCAATAGTCCGACAACTTAAGTTGTGAGAGTTGTGACACGAGCTGCTCGAAAGATGCCACTCTATTCTTGCGTTCCTCCTCTTCGTGCGAAACAAGCGACATCTGAATGCCCGTTAGTAGCTGGTCTGCCTCACGGTGCTTCCGTTTTGCGTCAGGCTCCTTGCGAACGGGAGCACAGTCGGATAGATAAGCGGGGCTGTTCGGAAACATCGTCGGCACTGCATCTTCGGTTAGTCGAGTAAGGCTCATCGGAACTTCTATAGTCTTTCCGTTGCTATCCGTGTAAGTGGTGGTAGTCCTCAAATACTCTGCTTTAAAATGAAGTTCGCAGACCTGCAATATGCAAAAGCAAAAAGAATGTTTTAAAATATTTTAGCAACATTTTATATATGTTTTTCTGCCTGATTACATTCTAGAACGTTATGATTAGCAAGGATTGAAATCTAGAGTGACGCTGCTCCGTAATGCACTGCACTAGCACAGATCTGCGACACAGAATTCGCTTTGTGTGAAGGTTTATTGGTAAAAATTTTAAATGCTTACCTTCGGATCACGCAGAGTGTCGATGTCGACGTCCTCGCGACGAATAGCATGTTTCCATTTTATCCTGCAGTCGTCTTTAGGGAAGGAGAACAAGCGGACCTTCGGTCCACCGTCATAATTTCCACGACAGTTCGGCACGCAGCAGCGGCCCATCCTGTGAACTTCCTGGTAATTTCACGCGAACAAACTTCACTGCTTGGACTCCAGATAACACAGCCAGGGCGAAAACTTGCACATATCTCCGAAGAACGTCCAACAACACTATTTCAAAATTCTTGTGCAGCGTAGAACCTCGCTTTGCCATGGTCAAACAAGTTCTAACAGGCTCGCCCTAACGAAGGGAGTCACTGAGCCTGCATTCCCCAACCGGTCCTCACAATGCCCACCAGTTCGTCGGGCTAGGTGTGCTGACGTCAGACAAGGAAACGAAGGGAGTGAAGGGGCCTTGCAAATTCTAGGAGGCGCTGGTAATAGTCACGTCTCGACTCATTTTACGTAACAATAATACGGTATCTGTGGACAGACTCAAATTCTTCTAAAATTGTATCTATCGCATAAAAAACAGGCTGTTTTGCATAGGCAACATGAAATTTGAACTAAAACTTGTTACTAATGGCATTCTACCGGGCAGTATTTCAGAACAAATGCTGTGTAATATGTATGCTTAACGACATTTACAATATTAACAGTGTTAAGTTTATCATATGTGCTGATAATACTGACATCTTTTAGTCGAAATAATCTTGATCTCTTCATTCGGGATTGCAATGACATCGTGAGTGAGCTACGAAAATGGTCAAAATCACAGCGCATGTGTAATAATAATAAGAAAACACAAGCTGTCGTGTTCCCGCATCAAAAATAAACCAATTCTTTTTTTTTTCCTTCTACGTTAAGCTAAACTCATGACGTATAGATGTAGTTTATCTATTTAAGTGCCTTGGCTTGTTTTTTTTTTCATTTATTAGGTCTTGGTAACAGCATCTGGACCACATTTACACGAAACTGGATCAAATTACCGGGCTCGTTAAGAGGCTCAAATACATTCTTCCAAAACTAATAAAGTTACTGCTGTACATTTCATTTTTTTCTCATATGTAAACTATTGCCATTTAGTCTGAGGCATGGCTACTCTTGGCTGTCGTCAGCATATGTACATTTTATAAAGGCGATTCATTCGTAGTGTCCTCAATGTACCCCAGAAATTTACGTCCCCTAACTCTGTATGCGCGAAATCTTCAAGAAACTCTCCAACAGTTCACGTGAGCCAATGGCGCACTCAACTTCTCTTGCAAAGCTGGTAAGTTGTAGGTTTCAGAGCGCAGATCATTGGAATCCGTTCTTGCGTTTAGTGGCGTCGCCCTTGACTAACGTCAGTGTAAGCTATATACCGCGCGAACGAGGCTGACAGAGAGTAAATGAGGACGAAAGAGAGGGAACGTGGAGTCTGTCGATATCAAGCCACTGGCCTCCAACCTCGCTTTTTTCCTCCGTCACGGACACTTGCCCCTCGACCGCTGCTCGATCGTGCACGTGCAGGTCTGGCCCGTGCTGCCTTCACTTGTCGTAACGGGCCTGTCGGCGTTTCGCTTCGATCGCGACGCCTGCAATGCACAGATTGGTGTGCGTAGCACTCGAGCGCTGGCAGTCGATGTGCCAGTATGCAACGAATGTTGCATTGCTACAAATGCGGGTAGCCAAAACTTCGAACACAGATGCCGTTAGCCCAACATGAACTGCGCTCAGAATTCGCATCAAGGCAGCATTGTGATTGTCAGAGAATTTTTAAGTTTATTTATTTCGTTAGTAGTTAGTTAGTAGTTAGTTAGTTAGTTAGTTAGTTAGTTAGTTAGTTAGTTAGTTAGTTAGTTAGTTAGTTAGTTAGTTAGTTAGTTAGTTAGTTAGTTAGTTAGTTAGTTAGTTAGTTAGTTAGTTAGTTAGTTAGTTAGTTAGTTAGTTAGTTAGTTAGTTAGTTAGTTAGTTAGTTAGTTACAAGGATAGTAGACTGCAACATGTCACTTATACTATAGAGGACAAAAAGAAAACAAAAGCACATTGCTTACGGTAGTCTGCGGCACTGGCTAACTGCACAAGGGAGCAGTTTTTATCCAATACGTTCACCTTTCTCCTAAGTCACGCAGTCTTTCCTGATTGGGAGCTTAAAGAATTCAGTCCTGTTAAATTTCCGGCTAACGCAGTTCCAGCGCAGAAGCTGAAAGGCTGTGCTGTCGCTAGTAGTTTTTGAAAGGCCGGTGATCTGCGTCGTTTTCTTTGCTTCATCCCCATCGACCGCCTGTGAATCGCGTGCGCGTCCTCCCGCTGTCTGTCGGTGCGCCATCTGGCGAGGGCATCCTCCGTCAGCGCAACTATAGTGCCGGCCTTGCCCACTGGCATATGTGCCTCTCCAAGAGCATTCAGTAACGGGTCAAAGCTTTGAGTTATTTGCTGTTTATGGGAAGAGTAAACTTGGCAAGCTGGTATTTATTCATGACAAAATTAAATTTAGCGATCTAATGAGATAGATGAAGGCAGAAAACTATGTGTGTGTCGTGCTTTTTTTTTTATACTCTCCAGTATTCGTCCCCAGGTGGTCGAAATTCATGGAGCCCTCTACTGCGGTGTCTCTCTTAATCTTATGAAGGTTTTAAAACGTTATACCCCACATATCAATGAAATCAATAAATCTTGACTATTCGCCTGGGTATTGGGATATTTTTACAAAGCAAAACCTTACCAACTTACCCAATTTCCTTCTTATAGAGAACCTGACACAAGCACTTACTATCAAGTGAAGCTTTATTGTGGAAATATGCTGTAGCGGTAAAAAGCTACGCGTGCGTTTGCTTACGGAAGAAAACTGCACAAAAAATTTTTGCGCAAAAAAACAAGCATCAATAACGTGGTGGAGATGACTAGGATAAAATATGCTCGTCATAAATGGCTTGATCTGACGCTGTGTAATAAGGTATTAA